AAAGCGGCACATGACCGGGGAGGGAGGGGAGAGCGCGGGGGCGGCCCGGCCCGGCCCGGCCCGGCCCAGGCAGGGCGCCAGCAGGCGGGGGTAGGGCCGGGCCGGGCCGGGCGCGCGGCCCCAGGGAAGAGGCGCGCGACGCCCCCCGGGACGCTCTGGACGTGGCTCCGAGTTGTTCTGCCCCCGGCCCGGCCCGCAGCGCGCGAGCAGGGAGCTGCGGGGAGGCCCCAAGTCTCCGCTCTTGAGAAGTCCCTGGGCACGTCCCCGCCCGGCCGGGCCCGGGGTGTTCGGCGCCTGCTCTCGGGCCCTGGGGTCCCTTTGGCCGGCGGCACTCGTTCCTGGGGACGCCTCCTGCCGCCCTGGGTCACCCGCCCGCACTAACCTGGGGCTGCAGCCCTCAGCCCAGAAGGGCGCGGGGCAGCAGACCAGTCTGAAGGTCACCAGATCAAGGAGGAAAAGGAAAAGAAAAAGCAGGAGGAGTAAACTTATCTACTCAGCCCGGGTTCCTCAGCCCGTGGGCAGTCTTTACTCCCCTGCACTTGGTGGGTGTGAAGTGACTTTAAATCAGCCCGGAAAAACTTTCATGCCAGGAGGACAGGTAGTGAAGAACGTGGCCTCCGGTCCCCTCACAAGGGGAGGAGGGGAAAAAAGTCAAGAGGCAGAGCACTGGTCTGGAAAGCTGTATCTAAAGCTTCAATCTTCTCACCATGAAAGCAGGAGCAGCTAGCTCAAGTGATTAAATTAAGCCAAATCTTGAGGTGTCAACGCATACAAAGGTGCTAATTTATCCAGGCCCAACCCATTTAAAGCCTTATAGGCTTAAAAATAGACCTGTGGCATTTTACACCACTTGAGAATGCTGCTTCCTGACGTGTTCTGGTTGCAGGGTACAAACCAGAAACAATCCCAGAGGAAGAAGGCTGCTTGCTCTTGCCAAACACAGGCTTTATTAAGGCCTGGGCTAGGTAGAAATTAAGGACCTTTTTCTCCCAATTGAACTATCTTAACACAATTGATGTTAACTTGATTAAAAAATCTACTTAACACCAGTTGAGTTAACTCCTTTCAATTAATTTAACTCAATTTGAAAGACATCTTTTCTTTTTCCTAATCTAGATGAGTTGCAAGTAGGCAGCTCCATTTTATACTAACTGAAGGGTGTTTGTTGCTTCTTATGTTTTGTCTTTGTTTAAAAAAAAAAAAAAGCACAGAAACAGCAGCCATTGCCTTTATAGGTGTTTTTCTCTGTAAAGTACAAAGCATTTTGTAAGGCTGGGTGAATATAGCTAGCCCCAGTTTACAGATGAGGAAATCAAGGCAGAGGACTGAAGTGTCTTTAGTCAGACTTGTATCAGTACCAAAACTGGAAACAGAACCCAGCCCCTTGGCACCTAGTCCCATGCCCTGTGCCTTAGCAGTACTTCCTTTGCTTTATATTGAATTATACAACAGTGCAACATGTTGGTGTTTAGGGTTGCTAGGCTGCTGCTTCCACCAGAAGTTCTAGCAGACAACAGAAAAGCATCTGGCACTGCACACGCACATCTGCATGGCTCCACCACAGTGCCTGGGCCAGCAAGGAGAGAAGCACACCTTGGGAAGGCAGCAAGTGTTTAAGGAGCCATAGCAGCTGGCAGAAGTGGCCTCTCTAAACACCTCCTGCCAGGAGAAACAAGAGAATCAGTGCCCTTATGACAGAAAGAAGAGCTGTTGCCGCCTCAGGACAGCACGAAAGTGCCAGCAGTCACAGTTCTGGCAAAACTCTGGCATGTATACCAGGCCTATTCACAAAACTTGGATTTTCTTTTCTTAATTCAATGAGTGTAATAGACTGTCTCAAGTTTAAAATGGGAAGTTTATTTCTCAATGATTAAGACATACAAATTAATTTAAAACAACATCACATTTTCCTTTCAATACAGGCCTGATCTCCACTGCAATTTTTTGCTGGCATAATAATGTCAGACAGGGTTATGTTTTATTGGGGGGCATTATTAGACTCATGTACAAACAGTTCTACAATCAAAAAGTGCCTTTGCTGGGATAGTTTATCTGAATGAAAGAAGCTTTACTGGCAAAACCACTGCTGTTGGTGTAAGTAGTGCCTACCATAGAAAGATCTGCTGTACAGCAAGGCTGCATGCAAGTTATACTGGCAGGCCTTTTCTACTATACCCCTTCCGCAAAAGCTAAACCTAAGTCAGCAAAACAGTTTAGCAAATCCTGCTAAACTGAAAAGGGAAAGAGAAGTCTGGATCCTGCTTTCATATATTCCCAGTTCTCCTCACTGACCAGCACAGCCTTAGTTAAATGTGGTCACCATTATATTTACCATAGTACTACCTATATAATGAGCCCTGGTAATGGCACCAGATGCTTTATCTTACTTAGTTTCAGGGTATCTGTGAAATTAATATTTTTAGACCAAAAAAAGAGTTCTGACTTCTTAGTTCTCAAAGTCGAGAAGGGGGGGGAGTTTCCTTCGTTCTCCCAAATTCCTATCATAACTTGCTAAGACCTTCCATTGCCAATAGGGTTGTTTCTCCTGTACTGGTATTTCAGTCTTGCATGTTTTCAGAAAGGCATACTGGCAGCTGAATTTAAGAATGAAAACAACACCCACTATATAGCAGAATACCATTGTTACCCACTCCTAGCTATGTCCTGCTTATACTTGTTTCTAGCACTGAAGCAGCAGACCTTAGTTTAGGCAATTCTTATCTCATAGCCATTTAGTTTTAAACACAAACTGAATTACCAATTCCCAGCCACACCCGCATATACTTACTACAAATAATTTGAAAGTTCTTTCAGGGAGATAACCAATGGCTCTTTATCAGCAGAGGAGACATTCACTACATTTGCCATCAGTTTCAAAAGTCAAATGTCTTTTCTGTCTATGTAGAATCCAGATTATATATGATTTTAATCTTGAAGAAAACCTTATGTATGCATGTATGCTGGTGTTCATATGCGTAGGTCAGTTCTCTTCTGTTTAAAATTAGTTGTGACATTCCCTATTGACATCAACAGAAGCAACAGTATCAAAAGTGTTTACACTTTTTTTAGAGGGGGGGTGGGGAAGGGTTGCAGGGAAAGGAATGTCCCACAAGTGAGCCCTAAGGATAACAATTAAAGGACTTGCTCAAGGAATTTTGGAATAAGTATATGGCAACCAGTCTGGCAGAGTGACTAGAGCATAGGCCACTGCTCTCTGTATAATCTTAGGGAAGTATCTTAGTTTCCCCATGCTTCAGTTTTCCCGCTTTGTAAGATAGGGATAACTGATTTGTGTGTTAGAGTTTTAACATGGGAATATGAAAGTTGCTATGCATAGTATACACGGTATCAAACACTTATTAAACGAATTTCCAGTAACACGTTATAGCACCATAGTCACTTATGAAAGAATGTATATATTTTAATTCGATTTTCAGAAACACCAATCACTGTTTCCGTATCTTAATTTAATAAGGATTTCCAACCATCCTTCTCTTTTGCCTAATCTCTTACCCTCCCATAGAGACTGGAACACCTTCTGCAGGCCTCTGCTGCAAACTGAGCAAGGCAAAACCTCTTTACCCACCTGTAGTTCCATTGGAGAACACTTTGTGGGGCTCGGTCTAAGCGTGCATTGACGAAAATAAAATAGTTCCCGAAAGGTTCGTGGGCAGTTTACCTATATATCCTTTTCAGGGAAGATGGCAGTCCGGACCTGGAAGCAGGCAACAGAGACCGCTCCCACACTGGTTCCCTATGACATTGTTTCATTTTATTGGATGAAAGTCGATGCCTGTATTGAATACTAGATATTTGCATAAGAGTTCTGTTGGAAGGGTGGCTGCCTGAAGAGAAAGAGGGAGCTTCAATAAAGCTGGGAGGAAATTGGAGAGAAGAAAATAATCATAGAGAGGACAGAACAGAGCGAAAGGAGCAGTCCAAGGGAGAACAGAGTGTAGTCCCAGGAAAGACAGAGGGAACTGCAGTGGCACAATAACAATTGTTTGCTTGGAGCTGAGCAGTTTGCTGTCCTGTTCGGGATCCCCCCGCCCCCCTGCTTTGAACAAAGGAACAGCTGCCTCCTAGGAACTGACCAAAAAGGAGCTCTCCAAGGCAAGGGTGCTATGGATCTCCAGGGAAGCCAGCAACAAAAAAAAGACAGATCTCAGAGACATGTTTCCTTGTGAAGTCATGCTGGGGCTTCAGGAAGTCCTTCAGGAAAGGAAGACTGAATAAGGCTTCTTTTCGGGGAGATCAGAGGCAGAGCTTCCCATGAAAGGAGTGTGATCCTTGAAAGGAAATGTGCGTTAGGGCAGAGCTTTATCAGAGCTATAAATCTTGCTAGTGGTTAGAAGAAACAAAATTATGTTTCACAAACTACTATACAATGAAGTTTGTATAATAATTATAATAAGCAGGGTACAGAGTTTTAGGCAATAGTTCCTTTATATAATAACGTACACAGGTTTATGATACCATTATGTTACTCATAGCTGTAAGAAAATTCATATACTTAGCACTAAAATCATATACAGTTGATAAAATAATCAGCAATAAATATTAAATGGAGGGAAAATCATACGAGTTACTTTGTCCCCCATACATTTATTAAACTAGGTTTTATTGCAAGTACTTTGCCCATATAACTATATTGGCCTGCTCTACTGGCAAAACACTCCTACTGCAGACACAGGTTATATTGGCAACTCTTTGCTTTTATCATTATAGCCTATTTCAGCTC